CGTTCCATTGCACTCTCCGCGAGTGCAATGGAATAAAACGTATAGTACAATTGCACTCGTTGTGTTTTCGATAAATCGCATCCCTCAAAATGCTTCTCATACGAATCTATTAGTCTATTTTGGTATTATATAAAACAAATAATGAATGTTTATGAGTGCAATGATAAGAATATTTTCATTCGGTGAAAGATGGAATGTTCCATTCAACTCGGCTGTCGCCTCGTTGAATGGAACATTCCATCTTTCACCTCATGAAAATATTCTTACCATTGCACTCATAAACATTCATTATTTGTATACTAATCCCTTTACATGTCTCATATACATGTTAAAAGATGTGTTCGCAACAGGCTGTTCGTAAGACTATTAATAAAGACTTGCTGTCATTAATTTGTTAACAACTTGTTACGTGCACACGATGTCAGACTTGTTGGAACGACTTGTTGCAAAAATACGAAAATAAATACTCCGGTCAGAGAACGTCTCTTGTTGCGAGTCTGTTGGCTTTATCAACCTTGTTACAAGATGAAAACAACTTGTTCCAGACTTGTAATCAACTTGGAACAACCGAACAAGCAGTGCAAGCTGTGAGACTTTTACGGGTGTATGCATGTTCGGCACATGGAATGTTCTAAGCTCTGAACTAGGCCTACACACGTAAAAACGCACAAGTTGTAACAAGTCTGCAAACAAGTTGTTACTCGTCTGTTCACAAACTGTCAACAAGTTGTGCTTGCACTGCTTGTTCCCAGTTTGTTGTAACAAGTTTGAAACAAGCTGTTAACAACTTGTAACAAGCTTGATGGCATTAGCAGCCTTGTTACAAGATTGTGCTAACAGGTTTGTTACAGCCATGATATAACAAGGTTGTTACAAGGTTGTCAACACAAGGTTGTAACAATCTTGTTATATCAAGCATGTCACAGACTTGTCAGAACAACTTTGCAACAAGTCTGATAATTTCGACAAGGTTGTTACAAGTTGTCAACAAGTTGTTCCAAACCTGTTGACAACCTGTGACAAGCAGTGCGAATACATCTTGTTAACAGCTTGTGAACAGACTTGTAACAAACTTGTGCGTTTTTACGTGTGTAATAGGCTAAAACTCCCACAAATTTTAGGTAAAAATGCGTTCGTGAACCGCAAGCCAGGAATTTGTTTCACGGAGAAAATGATTGGGAAGTTTATCCGGGGTGAACGTCAAGATGTTGAGACATCGTGTAAATTTACTTTGACCATTGAGTCGAATGACATCAAAGCTATGTTGGAATTTGATCCCGATCATACTGCTCAGATCAGTGGAACGGTCACGTGCCCTGCTCTTTCTTCTTCACCACTGACTGTTTCTGAAGGTTAGAAGTATATTCATGCACTCGCTGGGGAGCGACTATAGGTTTCGCCCGGGATTTGTAGTGGGTCTAGTAGATTTCCAAACAAGAAAAGAAAAGTTCAGCTGATCTTGATATTTGAGTCAATTTTTTGTCAAATAAAATTCTTATTTTTTGTCTTTCTGACTAGGTTGTTTCCAACTTTTTAGCCCAGCAAAGAACGACAAGCCGGACAGCCCTTCGAAACAAATGCTGTACAAAATGGTTTTGAACGGTGAAAACAACACTACCTATTCTTTCTATGGCGTGAAGCATATACACAAGAACCATTTTTGGGAAATTGGTCTTCGCGACACCACCGTCCTCTTTGTCAAAATATACAAAAATGCTAGCTTTTCTGGTGATATTCTTGGTACAGCGAAACTGTATATAACCATTCCCAATTTTGCAAAGCAGTTGGCGACCTTGGAGATCACCCACACCCAAAATATTCGTGAGAAAACCTATTGGTTGGCAAAATTTGGAAAGTTTTTTTTCCAAGACGTTATGGGATGTTTATGGGCCGGGCGTGAATTTTGGCGATGAAGACGCAGCGCCAAGACAGAGAAGGGCTTTGAAGTTGAGAGGGTGTACACCTATTGTTTATGAATGCGTGACAAAAGATGAGGTATGTACTGTGGCGCTGCCAAGGGGGGAAGCGAGGGGATCCCCCCTCCCATTGTTTTTAGTGTGATTTTAGATTCGAGAGAAGTTGATCTCCCACTGAATTAAATTGCCAAGTGTTCTAAAATCAATATTTGACAGTTTTATTAGAACATTTTAATTTTCTTTCAAGATTCTCCACATGTATGAAATGCTGTTTCAGAGTTACAAATGGTAATTCACAAACTCCGCATGATAAAACTGTCATGTTAGGTTAACATACTGCAAATACATGTTATATGTTGACAAATTTGAACAATTATCTATATAAGAATTATAAATTAAGTTTTTCAATTCAGAAAGCTTTTGTGCAATTTACGTCATAATGAGGATAATTTGCATATGAAACTTCGTTAAAAATCTCAAGAACGAAACAATCTAAGATAGTTCGGAAATGTATCTTATTTGGTCAATTTGCAATCATGAATGAATGGTGTGAAATTTGGTTGCATAATTAATGGACTTCGCTGGTATTTTTCACGTAGTTCCCTCTCAATCCGCAGGTTGGAGCTATTTTGGGAATCGTCCTATTAAAACCCTGCCTGATGGAATAACAAATTGTGTTACATGTTTTTCAGTTCCAGATTCTTTTGACTCGGTACGAAGGAGGTCCAAAGGGCCCGGTCGTGATGTTTCATGGTGCTAGCGTGAGCAGTGAAATCTTCCGCTTGGATAGTATTGATGCAAATCTCGTCGAATATCTGGTACAATATGGGTAAGCTTTTTTAACTCTTCCACAGGAAGCCATATTTTGTGTCCTTTTTTTCCATCCAATATTATTACTCTGCGAAAAAATTTGACTAAAAAAAAGTTGAGTAAAATAATGCACCCACAGTGACTCAAAATATTGAGTAAAATTACACAAATTTATGGGAACATTTACTCATTTTTTAGTATAGTAAATTTAGCCTTAAAATTAACGTAAAAATGTAAATTTATAATATAAAATGTAAAATGTAAATTTGCTTATATATATAAGTTTATAAGTCTTGTTTGTGCAGTGTCTCCATTTTGAAATAAATTTTATGGAAACTCGGATGAATTGAAAATTTGCTTGAATGGCATTTTGTATCATTATACTGTATATACTTAAACTTAAAACACACTTTACCTCATATTCGCTTGTGTTTAAATCAGAAATATGTATTATGATACATTATTGGGAACTGCTGCCGGTGTCCCAGTTGATTTGGACCCCCGTAGATTTGGACCCCCGGTCCATATCCACTAGTAGATTTGGACCCCCGGGTTCAAATCCACTAGCCGATATGGACGTTTCCCGGGGGACTACTAGTAAATACGGACCCCCGTTGGCGGATTTGGACCCCCCTTCAAAAGTTAAATATATGTAATGTGAACACAATAATATAAACCAAATTCATAATAGCGATCAATCTGAAGTATTTTACACTTTAAATATTTGTGATCAAGGCCACAAAACGTAAAATAAAAAACTGGAATACAAGGTGACTAAAATCTATGTATGTCTTTGCCAATAACGAATCTGCTAATGCGAGTAATGGTTTTTAACAAACGAGATAGAAATAAGAAATTGCGTATAGGAAACATTGGGATCGACACGAAACACGATTTTCATGAATGTTTTTAAACAATAAGTGTGGTGGCTCATCTAAAATGGAAACCTGCCACTATCAACTAACGGTTTTTAAAAAAAAACATATTAGAGCAACGCGATCGATTCCATGAATATTTTGAAACAATAAGTGATGGGGCATGTGACTCATGAGTTTTTAGTGTGTTTATTTATCCTTTCATAGTTGTATACATACTTTCCATTTGGACCTTTCTAGTAAATTTATGATTTTTGAATTTGGATCTCGCTCACTGGATGAAAAACAATGTTTTCTATTCGCAATAAATAACTATGTGTGGTTGATAAGAAGCTCCGCGGGTATCTGAAAACTAATGAATTTAACATATTCACCGTTATTGGGGATGATTTTGGCATATAAAAGTGTTTTACAAAGGGGGTCTATATCCGCTAAACGTGGTCCATATCTACTAGGAGATTTGGACCGGGGGGGGTCCATATCTATTGGGGGATCCAAATCCGCTGTGACACCGGTTAGGTCTAAAGTGTTTATAAATTCGTTGTCTTGAGCGGCAATCGAACTCGCATCTGCATGGTTTTTAACTATAGAGTCAACGAGAATTAGCAACAAGTCGATAGCTCAATGGTCTGGGCAGTCTCGAGCCAGCCAGGGATGCATGTTCGAATCCCGCTCCGCGCGGACAAATAATTTTTCGTTTTTCTCCGCAGTGTCAGAATGATACGAAACATTTTTCATATCTGTTCTGAAATAGAATTGAAACATTGCGCATTCTCCAAGACCAGACTGAGCGTACTTAAATTGGATAAGACTAGTACTCGCTATACCAATATCCGTTTACTCGCGATAGCTTGATGGGTTGGGCGGCTGGTCGGTCTAGAAACCCGAAGATGCGTGTTCGAATCCCGCTCGAGACAAACATAAAATATGAAACTACTTTAATCACATTATGATATGTATTTTATGTTGACAAGATATGATGTGTGGCTGGTTGACTGGCGTACTTCATGTAACCTCCCAAAAATGGTTGAAAAGAATTATACATTGGACGACTGTGCAGCGTATGACTATCCAGCAGCTATCGACAAAGTACTTGATGTTACTAATAAGGTCAGGGCTTGCATTTTTAATAGAAGACTTAAAATTGACGTTTACAGCAGACCGCTAACCGTAAACGACAAACTTCAAATCGTTTTTGAAGATAACTTCTTTGAGTTTTCGGCTGGAGCTTAAAATTTACTTTTCGTGGACGAATTATAGTTAAGAGCTACTAGCTACACATACGTTTTAGCCATATGCAAGAAACAGATAACGTCGCTGTTCCGTATACTAAATAAAGTTAGTTTAGATCTTTAAGATTTCCTCCTGGGGCCGTTCTCGCCAGCAATTAACGCAAACTACCCGAGAGTGATTTTTAACTGTTGTAAAATGCCGGAAAAGCTGCCAAACTGCGGATGCGGATAAAAAGAAACTTAATTTATAAATCTGCAATCGTTATAATATCAACGAACAATTCACTGAGAAAGTCTGAGTCACTCATTATCCGGTAAATCTAGCGCCAGTGGCGTAACTTCGGTCTAAACATCAGGGTTTGGATACGGTATTCTGCCCGATAAAAAGGTGTGGTTGAAAGAGAACGCAAAGATGCTGGGGGGAAATTGGTTAAATGATGAGGATCCGCAGGGGTAGAGTCGACGGCACATTCCTCGTCCTCAGGCCTATACATTTCGCAGTGGACCTTGCACCATGCGCCTAGTGCAAACGACGCGGGGCGCCAATTAAGGGGGGGGCGGTGATTTCTCCCTAGAAAATCTTGAAATTTAGAGTTTCCCCAACGGCATTTCATTGACTTTGGGGGAAGATACAACAGAACTCTAATGGTAAGAGTCGAGAACGACGTATATTAGAGTAGAGAAGCAAATTATTATTTAACTAATTGCGCAAACTGGACGTCTATGGTTTTACGTTCTTACTCAACATGATTTAATTGTATTTTTGCCCAACACATTAATGAGTCTTTGGTAAATTTGCCCTATAAAATTCCTTTTTTCAAACGTTAGGGGTATCACACCCCCCTCCCATGATTTACACCTCTGTATCAGCGCTATCTGGCCTTTGTACAAGTGGTCGTACGTAGTTAAAACATTTAAAATTAAATATAAGGAATGTTCTAAACGACGTCCATTTAGGTCCATCCTGTGTAAAATAAAGTTGGTTTAAGATGTTTATTGAACATACTTGTTTGGGAAGCTATTAAAATTTCTTTGTTCTAAGTTGTTGCATTGTGTACTTTGTACACGATTACGATTAAAATTTCTGCTATTAAATGTTGCTATTATTTTAGCTTGTTTTCCATTCTATAATTTTCTACTCAGTCTTCGTATCTAACCATGCATGTCCTTCTATTACCCATTGTTTAAGCGATAAGTTATATTGTTTTCAGAAAACTGTCCAAGTGGTGGCCCATTGCGCAGGCTCTCTCGTTCTCTTTGCCTCCCTCTTGTCCGGCGCCCTGGAGGGTAAAGTTAGAAGTATTGTTGCAAGTCAGGTGGCTGCTAACCCTATTCCTGCACCATTTAATGCCTACAAGTCAAGTCTACGTCTGCCTGGAATTGCTCACGCCATCGGAATTCATGGTCTGACTGTCAACACTGACGCGCATGCGTTGTTCTTTGGTCGAATGTTTAATGGTTTGTCTCGGGCAGTCGTCAATCATCTTGTTCTTCCGTACAGTGAACGTTGCGAAAGCCCTGTTTGCCATAGGTAGGTACTGACTATCAGGGGCGAAATCAAAGCCCCTTTTAATTCGGGGGTGTCTGGCAGAATTGCCCTGCCAAAACCAATGATGCCCTGCAGCATGCAACGTGCTTATTGTTTGCTCGCTGTAATAAGTTATTTAATAACTCTACATTCTATCATTTAAAATCTTTGATTGCCCTGCCAATCGAGATGATTCGTGTTTTTTTGGGGGGAGGGTGCCACACTCCCCCACACCCCCCTCAAGTTTCGCCCCTGCTGACTATACCACATTTACCGCCATTTTATACGCTGGCATTTTTTCGTTGGCACGTTTTCCATTGCTGGAAAATGTCCGGCAGCGCCAGTAGCGCCGCTGCCAGGAAATTTTAACAAATTAATTTATCTTCGGAAAAAATTTTCTTACATCTTGCATGAAATTTTTGTCTTTTGAGTTTATCAGTTAAATTTTTGTCTTTTGAAATTTTTGTCTTATGAACATTTATTTGTTGGCTGTATTACCACATCCAAAATTGGGAAAACACGTCAACATAAAACAAACACGGCTTGATTATTTACATAAAGTCGTGAAGGTTTATAAAATAGAGTGCTACTACTTTTGTGTAAAAATTAAGTAAAAAATTTCCTAAACATTATGTGATGTTTTTTATGTTTAATAATTATCTAAAAAAAAAATGTAAAAAAGTGATCAAAAGAACTTTATTGATCACTTCTCAAACTCAGTAATAATTCATGAGCAAAACATGGAATATAGGATTTTAAATTTTGTGAATGTTTCTCATTTCCAGGGAGTGGGATGCCGATGTCCCAGAATAGCCCAAAGCATCGTCCCAGTTGGGCTCGCCAGTGATATTTCATAATTTTGGCTTTTACATCTGTCTTCTTCTACTAATCTACTGTATATATGTGTTGCAACAAAATACAAGGCCACATATGCTCATGTTTAAATTGTGCCATTACAATGTTATTTTGGGGATTAATAAGATGGCAAAATCTGCAAGAGATGGCAAAAACTGCATGGTATCAATATGGTTGTCATTACAGTATACTTATATTTGAGTCCGTCCTTGCATCTTTAGCTTGAGCTAAAACGTCATGATTTCGTTTATTTTTTTAAGGGTCACGTTTATCTTCGGCTTATTATGGGAGCACAAAAATCTCACCGAGTTGACACACAACACATTGCACCAATTCTTTGGACACGTAACAACATTGGTTAATGCTCAGCTTGCGTTGACGATGAGATGGCAAAAATTGGTATCTGCTTCGGGCGAAGATATTTATTTGCCTGAGAGTGACAAGGAATTAAAATCTCCAGTTTATAAAGAGCACATCAATCGCCTTAATTTGCCAATACGTTTCATTGTGGGTAAGTTGGAGCTAGGTTTGTTTTCCCAAGAGTTTTGATGCTCAAAGCCAACTATTTTTCCGAGGAAACAGACATTAAATGTTTTATATACGACTCGATCGAGCTCATGCATGGTATATATAACTGTTAAATATATAGGATGTATAAAAACAGGGTGTATATATATTTAGGGTTTTCTGATTTTCACTGATTAACACTGAAAATTTAACATCTGAAGCATCTACTGTAAGGCTGTTTTTTTAAAAAACCATATTAATTAAAAGTGGCTTGTTCACAAAAATGGGTTTAATTTAAAACGCACACAAAAGACAAGTTGATGTATACATTACATCCACCGCGCGACCTCGACCTGAAATTTAGAATTTTTTGTCATATCAGCCTTTCCAAATATTTTTATTAACGCACGACTAATTTCATGCATGATTGGTTTGTAACGTACTCGTTAGAAAAAGTTAAAATGTTAGGGGTGGATAAGCTAATACGTGAAAAAAGGTGCAGAATTCAAGTAGTTTATGATCAGTGGTGCCTAAATTACTTTGAATTTGTACTGGAGTAAAAGTAGAAGTAATTAACAATAAAACGACTTGAGTAAGAGTAAAAAGTACTGGAAGCAAAACGTACTTAAGTAAAAAGTATAAAGTATCCTTAAAAAATACTTGAAGTACAAAATAAAAGTAGAAGTACTATTGTCTGTTGTGTGTAGAGGGGGAGGGGTCTTCTCCAATGGATTGACATAAAAAAGACACAAAACAGTACACCCATTATATGCGTGCACCGAACATACAATATTTCACGGCATGGTTTACTTTCCAGACCCCGTTGATGATATAAGAAATCCATTAAATAAATAATGCTTATAAGTAAGTCACAAACGAGAGATCCCAGACGCATGTAGAGGTCGTATTACCTATCCCGAAATTAAAATAAATCAGAAATATATCACGTAAAATTAAACAAAAGTTAGGAAGTAACGACATACTTCGCCACAAAATGAAAATAACGTGAGTAAAACGTTACTTCTTAAAATGACTTCGTTCCAAGTAAAAGTACTCCAGAAAAAGTTTACTTTGTTACATGCTCACTTCTCAAAAATAGTACTCAAGTACAGTAACGAAGTGCATTCACTTCGTTACTTGACACCACTGTTTATGATCCAAAAAAACTTCCATATGGCATATTTGTGCTCAAAATACTTTTCATGTTGTTTTTAAAAGCAGTCAACCTGCACTCAAAGTCAAATTTTCATATTTTTCTGGTTTACTAAGTATTATTGTGTAAAATTGCCAAATTTATGATCAAATCTACTCATTTTTTAGCAAAGTAAATCTTTACTCAAACAATTGAGTGAATTTCAAACGTTACTCAAAACTTGAGTACATTTGTTCATACATTTGTCAATGAGTATTTTTAAGTTAAACTTTTGAGTCACTGTGGGTGCACTATTTTAGCTCATTGCAAGTTTTTGAGTCAAACTACTCCGTGATATATTGTAGTGTAAAATCAATGAGCTCTATATATATATATATGGAGCAAGAACGTCAGTCATTCGGTGTATGAGAAAAGTGAAGCCGGGATGGCGGAAATTGAAGTCCAGTATCAGAATCTAGGTCGTTAAAAGTTTTAATTACCTTTTTCCTGTAAATTGTAACTTTTTCTAACCGGTTGGATCGTTAAACAAGTTATCAGTTCATAAAACCATAGTGTTATTCTTTAAATCGAGGTTAAAATACGAAATGTTCTTTAAGCTTCGTGTTAACCGCGCAGACAAAAACAATTGAAAAGAGACTGGAACTGATGTCCAGTAGCTCCATCTAGGCTTCACTTTTTGGACTCTATTTCTAAGCTAGATGCTTACTGTGTACTGTACGTTGGGTTTTTAGGTGAAAAGAACAGTTGCTACTTACCAAAAAGCACGCTGACTACCCTAAACCTTGTCAAAGAAGCTCACCCTCATCAGAACTATTCCAGAGTAGTAATTCCTGATTATGGCCATCTTGATTGCATCTATGGAAAAGAAGCAGCAGTTGATGTATTTCCGCATATTTTGGAAGCATTGGATCAGTATGCTGAATCATAGTCTGTGAAGATCTGATGGTTTGCAAGCCTGGAAAACTTCAACATTTTAACATTTAACATTTTATTCGATTTGCACATTTACATATATGAAATATATACATATACATATGTCATATATCATATATCAAAGAGAAAAAAATGGAAGATCTTTGTTTGATATTGAACTGTACTTCACCGTGCATGCACAAATCCTTGGTCTCAACTTCATGAAATATTATTCATCGTGGTTGCACGTTTCATCTGATCAGCTATCCCTATTCATGGACGATTACTTTATTATACGAAAATACAATGAGCATTGACCCCGTGACCGTGTATACAGCTATTTCAATTAAGGTTGTCCCCAGAGCAAAGCGGAAAAGGCGAATACGAGCGCGAAAGGCTGCTGGAAATCGCTAATAAATGAATTAATTTATTAGCGATTCCCAGCAGCTCTTCGCGCTCGTATTCGACTTTTCCGCTTTGTTCGGGGGACAACCTTAATTGAAATAGCTGTATACAAATTAATATAAGCTCAGAGAAAAACACAATACAACGACTTCTGTTTAGTTTCCAGATCATCACGTCTTCACAGGCTATGGCTGAGTTCTGCTGTGAAGTATATATATACATTTTTATTCACGCGCCAACACTTTGGCTTGGTAATCAGGAAATGAGGCAATTCTATAGATAATGGTACACATAGAGGGCAATCAGGGTCCTCCGCCAACAAAATAGTCATACATGAAATAATTATGTAATCAGTTTTTCATGGAAGTAAATAATTTTAATTTTTTGTAAATTTCCGATCCATCATTATTTTCGATGCATCTTCATTTACTGTCGTTTTTTCATTGGCTAAAACTGCCTACACTCCATGCATGCAGATGCCCCTCGCTATTTTCAGTGGAAACAATTATAATTGTGGAGGTTATTGAATATTGATATCAAATATCCGGATTTTGGGCACTCAATGATTAGTCAACATTCAATAGAGACCTTACGATAGAGACCTTTAGGACGACTACCAACACAATAGATCATTGAAAAGAATTGAGTAATTAGAATATATGAATAATTTAGACATTGTCCTCGCTCTGTTTACAACGCTAAATCACAGATTTTCACGTCTTGATACAACGGCTGCATGCCAAGCCACAACAAGTGCAACTTCAAACTGGGTTTAGCAGAACTCTACCCAACCGCATAAAACCCATGTCTTCAACTTCTAAACTATTAAATTCATACGATTGATAATATACGACGAACTATCTTTACTACCATTTATTTGGAGGAGTTTGTTTTGGCCGTCGCGTTGCCGTCCTAAATATGTAAGGTCTCTAATAAATCGACTGAAACGCCCAAAATCTTGATATTTATCCATTTATCCATACATCCCCATATACCGTAACATATTGCTATCATGTATGCATCAGTTTTCGAAAACGTTGCTAAAAGTGGTGAAAATGAAGAGGTTAGCTTGTACTTTAATTTTTACTATTTTTGGCCACTTTTAATTTTTGAAAAAGTGGCCAAAATTGGCAAGAAAAATTTTAATTTTTGAAAAAGTGACGAAAAATAGCGCAAAAGTAACAAAGGTTTAGGTAACAATTTATAGGCTAGAAAAAAAGGTGACTAAAAATGGGCGAAAACTAAGGGGTTATAGCCTTTAGATTTTTGCCATATTTTCCTCTTTTTCAAAAATGAAAACATTAATAAATTGTCTTAACCTTCTGTTTCGGTATCGTTGCATGGCCTGTCTTGATGTACACGTTTTTCAACCTTTGTGTTATGTCATCGGCTCGTGATGTAACTCCTTACATTAAAATTATTCTTCAGCAGATGCTAAAAAAGGGTGTATAAAAAAAAACTGAACAGATTTAAAATTGCTCTCGATTTCGCAAAACAGTTTGTATCCGGTTTTTTATATGTATATAGCCTCTTCGGGTACTTATAATGTAGAATAATGAGAAAAATTTCTCGAACTCAAATTTTGTGAACCGGGGGAGGGGGGGGGGGGG